TTGCTGAATTTTCTCACAGAAACTTGTTTTCAGGTGAGGTGGGAATACCAAATTCAACTTCCAGCTAATTAATTTGAAAAAATTATGTCACTGTCAAGCTCTGATTCTGACTTTGAGTAAAAGAAGGAGTGACATGACAATTTATTCAACACAGTTTTAGTATATATCTAAACAACAAAAACAAAATAATAATTAAAGTAAAAGTATAACCCTGTATCCAAAAACAGTGGATAGATTTACTCTAACTAATTTTAACCACTGTGTATCCTGTTCTTGGGCATGCCCCGCTAATGCCTTTGGACCAGAGTACTGTAAAGCTTAATGATGCCCAGTGGATGAGAGCATATTAAGTATTTCTATGTACAGCTACATTCTGCTTCTACTTTACCATATTTTCTTTGCAACTACTGTACTTTGCACTCATAAAGTGATATACAAATCAGTGAATCAGAAATTATGATCCAATATATACATGATTCTGAAAAGTGATATTCTATATAATAAGTACATTTACTTTAGACACTAAGTATATTATGATTTAATAACTTGTTCACCATGAAACCACATAAGCCTTTAATATAAATGTTACTTTTTTGTCCATTTTTTTTCACTTTGTGAAACAATTATCCAGCATATTCAAACCAGTTTCACTCCCTGCCACTTGAATGCCCCTGATCCTATTGGGTAGCTTTGAATCTGTCTTCTATAAATATATCTTGACTGATAAAATAACGGAGGCAAAGGCCAGATGCTATCAAAATAAAATACACGTCTCTCCATTTGTACCCACATAAGTATCTCATAAAAATGCATTTAGTTGGCGTCTACCGTTGAGGGTGGTGATGAAACACTTCCTGACTGCTTTAAATCCAAACAAACCACTTTTCTCCATAATTTATGATTCTCTTTTTTTCTCTCTCTTTGTGGTTTGAAAGAATTTTGTGAATTTGTACAGCCATTACAGAAAAGTGTGCTGAATTTCTCACGATGTAAAAGATTATTTAATGCAAAAATAATACATTTAGTGCTAATTATTAATAAGCCAGTCACTATATTTGACTACAATCCCATAAATTTCCCTTCATTCTCTGCAGTCTGAAGTCTGCTTGTAAAGTCTGCTCAGTTTCTATGGTAACAGGCGAGGAGGAGAGGTTGCCAGAGCTGTCCCAGTTGAGAGTTTTCTTTTTTAAACACAGAATATTTTCATATCAAAGATGTTTGCTGCTAATAAAGGATCCAGCTGTCACCTCGCATTCTCCAGCATGGCGTTTGAATGGGCTGCATCACCAAGAGTGCTGCCATATGTTAAAGAGGAAGCACGTGAGCTGTCTCAGCTGAATGGTGCTGTAGGTAATATGAGAGACTGGCATCGGTTTCTAGGACAGATGGGGATGATTAAAATAAATGGACAGGCAATATTTTACTCACAGCCTCCATGTGGGATTGATCTTCAGTCTTAAAATAGTTTATATTTAATTAAAGTAGCGTATTCCTGGCAAACTAAAGGCCTTTTATCTTTCCTGTCATTTTCCCCCAAATAAGTCAGCGATAATATAAACTTTGTGGCTTGATCATTAGATGAACTAATCTTCTTTCTTTAAAGTTTTTATTTGATCACCAGTGAGCTAATAGGAGATGTGGGTAGTAATTCATAGGGGTCTTTGCTGGGATTTTAGAAATCTAGAGATTATTTCTTACATGTTTGCTTAAACTCCATATTTCCCCAGGGCATGCCTCAAACTGCACATGTAAGACTAACAAATTTTAGCCAGTTTTATTATTTCATACTCTTTGATTATTTCATTACACCGTTACATTTTATTTCAATTTCCCTGAGATTAAAGTCCAGGTGGACCAACATTTATTCCCTTTTTATTTGCAGGCCAGTCCAGTCTTAAACAAATATCCTACCTAAGCGTTTTGCCTCAGTTTCATTAGAAGATTTCTTGTTCTAACATCCAGGCTAAAATATTCCTGTAGAATTATAAAATATTAAACTTTCCCTTATACTTCCAGAAACATACCAGTAGTAGCAGTAGCAGCAGCAGCAGCGGGAGAAGATGCTCTGTGTCTTCGGCTGACGGGGGCTGAACAGCTTATTGTCTGGCAGATTTTGAATTCCACCCATCTTCTTTTGGACATTCTCACCAGCCTGATCTCACCTGTGAAAGCTTGCTGTTTGAGCACCAGCGTCTGCAGGAACTTTTGAAAGTTTCGTCAGCCTCTGAATTATTGATTCACTCAGGGAGTATACAGAGTCTACAATTACCCAAGTGACTTTACCAAGACAAGCTCAACAAATGAACAGCATGCATGCTATATTTATAAGTCAGAGGGTGGTGAACAAAGGCTGTTAGAATTAAAATGATAGAAACATCTAGATACTGAAAAGTAAAATGAAACCACTCTAAACCATTTTTCTTATAACACTTTAAATACATATGGTGGAAAAAAGATGAAAAGGAGCCTTAACTAATCTAGATTATCATCACATCCAGTGCTACAGCTTTTTTTTTTTTTTAAATTAAAGTGTATTTATAGCCCAGAAGTGTAATATACGGTAGTTTCACCTTCTGAGATCCTCATATGATTACATTTTTTTTAAAGGCTTTTCTTCATCCTTATACTTCATTCTGCTCAAAGTATTCTAAATTTTATTACACAAAGGAGACTTTGTGTTATACTTCATAAACCCAACATGTAAATATGAGGACATGGCTGCAAAAACAAGCCAAATCATGGCCTATCCACCACCGTGCTTGACAGTAGGTGGTGTGCTGACATGCTGTACTTGGCTTTCACCAAACATGGTGTTGTGCATTATAGCCATAGATCTCCACTTTGGACTTTTTAGAGAGAAGAGGTTTTCTTCTGACAGTCCATCCAAACAAGCCATACTTGTTAGAGATTAGCAGCACTTGGCTGCCACTTGCCCACTTAATTCCTATGGAAACAGTAAGGGTATACTACCTCTTCAGTGTTGTAAGCGACTGATAAAGTCCTGTGAAAACTTCACGTGACTTTGTATTACTAAAACATGTATGATCCATTTCTATGTTTAAGAAATCTTGGCATCTTGTAATCTCTTATGAGGCCAAATAACTTTTATGGGGGGCTAAAAAATATATATTTCACACTCCAGTAGGGTTAGTTAAGTGCAACAAGAAAGCTGGAAGCTCAGCAACACGTGGGAATGTCTCTGTTTCAAATACAATAGCAGCGTAGATCAGATTGAACCACTCTTACCATTTATGGTGTCTTATAACCTCTCTTTATTGTCTGTCATAGAGTATAAGTAATTAAAAGACAGACACAAAGACCATAAGGGTCCCTAAAATACTTTGGATAGGTTTAAGAAAAATGCAGGTGTGCAAATGCAAATGTAACTGTGACCTGTGGATGTGTGAGACGAATTTGAATCGAGACTCCAGTTGCCCAGCTGTTGCGATGGAGCTCACTTCAGTCTTAGAGCAGCAGAGCAATGTGTATTTGCATAATGACAATATCAGTGTCATGCATTAAAATATGCATAAGTGGGGGGACTCATCAGTAAAGAGACGCACTGGGTCAGTACGTTTATCAGTGGTAGGCTGTGAATCATAACACATGGTAAGTGTCCTCTTGTAGCTTGTACGAGAGCATCTGCTAGCTGAGACAGAATTAACTATTGATGCCTGCAACAACAGTCCAGTCCTCTATAATGCTGTGTTTTTATTATGTGATTGAAGCTTCCCAGGTTACTGAAAAATGTCATTGCTCTCCGAGAGCTTCACTAGTGACTGAGCACACTGTAATTTAGAATGTACAGTATGTGCAAAGCAGAAAAGCACTTATTCAGGAGTCATCTCCATGGAGATGTCCCTCAAATTGTTTGTGAAAAATTCAGGTTTTTATCAAACTAAGAAAGGAAAAATTCTCGATGCACACAGACCATACATTTTTGAAGGTTAATTTTAATTAAACCATGTCTTTAAATTTGACTAATGGTAAGGAAATACATTAATTTACACATCACTTACGCAGGATGTAGTGAATTAAAAAGAATTTAAAAAATCAATATAATGTTTGAAAATTGATATTGAACAATATTAATAGAAATTAGGGGAAACTGGGCAAATGGCCTAAGTTTTTCTAAAATCCCGCTTACCGTCCTTACACCAACCATTCACAACATCTGTGTAATATTGTGTGGATCGTCCTAAAAGCTCTGATGTTTTGGAGAATTAACATTGAACTACTGGGTATCCTGTGCTTTCTGGTCCTGTGGACTGTGAGGTGGGACACCTGTGGATCAGGTTCAGGTGGGAATGTGTGTCATTTGGAGGTCTGATTAAATCCTTAGACACCTAAGTTTATCAAATTATGCACAGTTTCTGAGGTGAGCCATGCTGGCGGAATCTGCTGCCAGTGAAAGGCTCTGTTGTCATTTGAGTGTGCTTGTTCTGCAACAGTAAGCAGATGTTTGGTACATGTCAATGTAAGATCCACACCAATGCCAAGATTTCCTAGCAGAATATGGCACTGTAACGTTATTCACTTCACCTGTCATTGGTTGATATGTTCTATTCTTTCAAATAGAAGATCTTTGCTTCCATCTAGTGGTTATAAATCAGTATAAAGGCAATGGCTTTACAGATTTCAGAGGAAATGTGCAGAAATGACAAGGAACAGGTGAGAAGTCTCTGATTTAAACACGCAGAAAAACACTAACAGAAAAAAATTAATCACTGTCAGCAGAAATATGAGGCTGAAAAAGGCAATGGCTGGAAAACCTAATTAAAAATAAAGTTAAACGGAGTGTTAGCAATATAGTCAACAGCAAAAAAAAAGAACGAAAATAACGAAACTTACACTGTATTAGATTATCTGAGAAAAAACATGTTTCAGAAGATGTGAGGTGGTGTTTGGCACAAACTCCACCATACCAGTTGTGTCGCTATCGTATTATTTTGTCATTTAACCTACAGCCAATAAATATAACGAAGAAGAAGAATCTCGCGAGAGTTCTTGGAGTTCACGTTACCGGCATGGAAGAAATGTTGGCTTTTGGTATGTTTTTAATACTTTTTAAAGCAGACTGGTACTTAAAGGGCTATTACTGATTAGATATTGTACACCGCTAAACAGAAACGACTGTGTGCTTTGGTTGGACTCTTCAGTTAGTTATTCCCGGGCGAATAAATAAAAGCTTCCCTTTGTATTACTAACGTAAATAACTTTGCCAAAGTAACGTACGCATTATGTAGTAAATAACTAGTAAATGGCCAGTATCAAGCAGTTCACAACTAAGTTTAAGAATACTTGTTTGGAAAGTTTCTGTTACTGGTGTAAGCTTGGAGCGGTGTGTCAGCAAATCAGATTAGCAAAGAAAAAGATTAATATACCAATGTCTTAATGGTTTCACTAAAGATTCATATATTTGTAAATTAACATATCCAAAAGTAAACCAATCATATCTTACTAATAGCATCTGATAATAGATGTGCTCACCAGTTACCTGTCTGCATCTTTTTTGGCCAAGTGGCTTTTCTTTTTTGTTTCTTGGCTTTTCTTTAATTATATTAAAGCCTTTTTTTTTTTTTAATTTAGCAAAAGTGCTGTGAAAAAACTTAAGTACACCCTTATTACTTCCATAGGAATTAAGAGGGTTTGTAGTAGCTAGGTGCTGCTTATCAAATGCATGATTGCATGATTGCATGAGTTTTTGGCAATTTGCTGGTCCGGAGCATTCAGGTGTGTGTTAACACAATGCCGCAATTTTTCCAGGATCTCTCTGAAAGCTAAAGCTTGGCCCGAACTGGGTCATGCTGCAGGACAATGATCTCAAGTATAGCAGCAGCATCTACAACAGAATGTCTGAAAAAGAGAAGAATCAAGGTGCCGTGGTGGCCCAGTTAAAGCCCAGACCTTGGCCTGACTGAAGTGCTGTGGGGGGGGGGCTCCACCACCTCCACCACCTCCAAAATTCCTCTACAATGTAGTGAGAGACTGATAAAGTCACACAGAAAACAGTCACTCCAACTTACTGATTATAAAGGTGGTTCTACAGCTGTTAACCAGTGGGGTTTGATTAGTTTTTCACAGGACTGCAGCTGTGAAAACTGTCTTTTCATGAGTGTATATTAACATGTCTGTTTTTTCTTGTCTGAATTGCAGTGATGCTTCAGTGTGGCCCTCCTCAATAAAAATGGCAGGAGTTCCTGGAGTGAGAGCCCTCCTCACTGTGCAGCGATCGGTGACATTGCAGCACAGCTTTTTTGGCTTCACTCCAATACATTTTGCATCAGCCTGCTTCCCCAGAAGGCTTTACAGTACTTCAACAGGAAGTACTGAAACAAAGCCGCCGGTAAACCCGGAGAATGAATCTCTGCTCGAGAACTTGAACCTCATGGGAGTTGACGTGAGGATGGCACGCCAGCGTCAGCCTGGGGTGCTTCGTAAAATCTTCACTAATGAGAATGGCCTCGCTCAGTTCCTGCAAGGAAAAGGTGCCGGCCGCAAAGTCATTGCTAGCATAATATCCCGTTATCCCCGAGCCATCACTCGCTCCATTGAACACTTGGAACAACGCTGGCAGCTGTGGAGAAACATCTTCCAGACAGACGCAGAAATCGTAAGCATCCTGGATCGCTCACCTGAGTCGTTTTTCCGCTCCAGTGATAACGACAACTTGGAAAAGAACATAGATTATCTGGTCTCACTGGGACTAAATGCCAAAGATCTCCACCGGCTGCTGACCACAGCACCGCGGACATTCTCCAACAGCTTAGAGCTCAACAAGCAAATGGTGGAGTTTCTGGAAGATATCTGCACAGAGCTCGGTGGAAGTAACCCAGAGCAGTTTGCAAAAATGGTCATAACAAGAAATCTTTACATTCTAATCAGAAGCACTAAGAGAGTCAAGACAAACATCGACAACCTGAAAGCATCACTTAAGTTGAGTGATTCAGAACTGCTGGCTCTTCTTCAAGGCCACGGGGCAGAAATTCTGGACCTTTCCAACGAGTACCTGAAAAAGAATTTCAACAGCCTGGAGCAGAAGATGACCGCACTTGGCTGTCGGAAAGCTGATGTTAAAAAACTGATCATCAACTATCCGATGATCCTCTACATTGGGCCTGACACTCTGAGCTCTAAACTAGACTGTCTTTTAAAAGGAGGAATAACAATGAAGCAGATACTGGAAAAGCCCAAAGTTTTGGACTACAGCACACAAAACATTACAGGGCGACTAGAGGAACTGAGAAGGTTGGGCTATGACTTCCAGAAGAATGGCATCAACATCCTCGATTCAAGTCGAAAGCGGTTTGCCGCAAAAATAGAAAAACTTTCTGCCTCACCAGAAGAATGAGTGTAGCTTGCTGCCTGTCAGACAGTGTTGGCTGATACTTTTTCATCTTTTTGACTTAAGAATAATCAGGTTTTATGTTCAGAGATAATATGATTGAGCTCTTTTAATATCCCAAACTTAATTCCAGTATTGAAATCTAAACATTGTGCCTGTGATATTCTTCTAGTCTCACAAAAGTAATTAAAGCAGTAAAAATAATAAGTTGAAGGTCTGGGGACATGGAATTACATTTGAAGCTAATGAGTAAAAGGAAATTGTCAGTGGATTACCCATTATGTAATGTTTCAGCTCAAATACCAGGTGTTTTAATCCATCAATACGCTGTCTTGGAATTAAAAAAAATGCAAAAGATGAAATACATTTGACTGAATGTTTCATTCACAGGTAAAGTTATGGAATGACTTATGTGATGTTTGTTTTTAAGCACTGAAGAAGACTTTTGGGCCATTTTAAAACCAACACATGGTAAGAGTCATTAAGAAAATGGGTTTTTCTTTTAGTTAAATGACTGGAGCAAAGATCTCCATTTACACTCACCATACAACTTTGTTAGGCACACTTTGCAAATACCAACTTGGACCCTCTTTTTTTCCCTTCAGAACAGCATGACACAGATTCATCTGAGATTTTGGTCCATTTTGAAATGACAGCATCACACAGTTGCTGCAGATTTGTCCGCTCTTCATCCATGATGCAAATCTCTTTTTAATATATATTATTAGAATTTAAAGGATATTTGTCAGCATTTGTTACTTGTTTGAATAAATATTACAATGTAAACATCAATTTTGGAGGGCATATGAATCACAGGCATGTAGAAATCGCATGTCTCAAACAAATGCATCAAAGCCACATCAGGCAGGCTGATAACACATTTTATTGTCATTCGAAGTTTTTAGCTCTCAAATGGTTCAGTCAAAACAAAAGGAAAGAAAACTGCACAAAATAACAAAACTGGATATAAATAGATACATTATTGAATAAGGTTAAAAACTAAAAATAATACGGTCTAAAATAAACAATAGTCAGTTAAACTAAAAAGCGAGGGCCTTGTGAACCGGCTGCCGCGACAGACTTGACCAAATTGACAAAGACTAACGATAAAAACATTTCATGTATATTTTTAATTTGTTTTACTTAGTCACACTCCAGCCCAGTAGGTGAATCTGAGTGCTGGATTTCAAAGGCAATGAGAAAGATTTGCAAGCGGTTCGCGGAACCAATGTTGAGCAGCAGGTTTACCACGGACGTATCTAAGGTGCTGCACAACGGTTTCCTCGCGATTCTGGGTTGTGCATGTCCAGTTGTGGAAAAAAAAACAAAACCCAGGAACTTTTGACTTGATTTCTACGTTCTGTACATCAGTTGTCTTTTAACTTCACGGTTGGAGCAAGGCGGTTGTTTACTCAGTATATCGGTAAGTGGTCTAACTCAGCTACAAGAGGAAGCTAACTGGTGGAAGTGTAAGGTTAAATATGGAGCACAGAGAAAATCAGGCAAGCTGATTATGATAATAAGGCAGTACCTGAACTGGTTTAATGTGTGCATAAAGTGTCCTAACGTAGGATTGGGAGCTGAATGGTCCTGTGAAGTGTTTAATTAGAAAGGTGTTAAAATGTTGCAGGAAGAGAGACTGTGATGGAAACAGCGGAGGAGGTGAACGTTTCGAAGAGGGCAGACGTGGCTGCAAAGGGTGAAGCTGCGATCAAACCAGAGTAAGATACTGTTAATAACTAAGAAAACTGTGGAAATCGCATTTATATGTTTTTGCAACAGATTTCAGGAGAGGGAAGCTGCAAATTAGAACAATCTTTCTCCAACTTTCAAAAGAGACAGCCATGAGTCAGGGGACTGAAGATAACGCCAGATTTTTATGATGAACGTAAGCCAGTTAGTAAGATGGGAGCAAGCATAGCTGAATAAATAACCATGTGTTTGAGTTTATGAAAGAACAAAGCAGACCATCTGACCTGAGCAAACAACACAAGCAAGGCACGTGACTATAAGGAGGCTGTCTGCATCTGAACTTGTTAAGATGTTCGTGTGAATTTATGTGAAAAAACTGTAGAAAGTGTCTACAAGAGATAATAACTCGTTTACACAACATAAAAAATATGGCCCTGTAGGGGTGAAACAGGGGCTTTGCAACCCCCAGTGGCGTAGTAAGGACTTACTGCCTTTATTTTCAGCCTTCCTGCTGCTTTGTCTGATGAAGCAAAGAGTGTTACACTGTCAGCAAAAAGGCTGTTGAAGGCCCTCAACTCTTTGCTTTCAGTGTTTCAGTGACCCATGCTACAGGGTCTTACTGGTTTAGCATAATTTACTCCCATTATGCTCTTTTTTCCCCAGTGTGAATATAGTTCATACTAAAATGCTTTAGTGACACACAGACTGTTTTTACACATAATTTAAAACAAAATTTATCAGGAGGATTCTTTCATCATCTTCTTATGTTTGCAGATTCCTTACAACCAAAGACAAGTTTCATGGGTTGTTAGACTCAGAGTGGCAGAGCTCAAAAAGAGAGAAAGCCAGTGAAAGTGATGCAGTTGAGGATTCAAAGGAGACTTCTTTGGAGGAACCTGAACCTAAAAGGCTGAAACAAAATTTTGAGGGTAGACCAGATGGCAAGCGTCTTCGGGGACAGAATAAGTCAAGGCCGCACACAAAGCCCACAGCCTACGATGAAAAACGACTTTGTCACTCAATCATTCAGGTATGAAGCTCTGACTCTGCATTCAAAAAGGCTCTGTGCAATACATTTTGATCCATATAGTTATTTTTGTGACTCTCCCCCCCCCCCCCCCCCCCCCCAATAAATTTAGAACAAAGAATGCCCCTTTGGAGCAAAGTGCTTCTTTGACCATGACATTGTCAAGTATATGGATTCTAAGCCTTCCGATATTGGGGAAACCTGTCACATCTATGAAACATTTGGAAAATGTGCCTACGGTTTGTCCTGCCGCTTCGCCAAGGCCCACACTACGCCTGACTTCAAATCCATGGAGAAGGCCGATCTGGTCAAGGTGTATGAAGGCAGGACTATGGTGAAGAACAACATGAGTAAGGAGCTCCAGGGTCGCCTGAGGAAGCGATCGGTGTCCTTCGAAAAGTCAGAAAAGTACCTGAAAACACTCTCAGACAACAAAGATAAAGGAGCACAGCAAGGCGACGGTAAGACAAGTGAAAAGGCTTTTATAAAGAATGCTGCCATCACAAATTTTGCTCATGCTTTTTAGGAAGAAACAGATACTGAGTATGTCACTCAAGCCTCTTTTTCACTAGTACCCACTTGCCTCGGCTCGGCTTGACACGGTTTTGGTCGTTTTCCATTACAATTGAGTAACATCTATTGTGCGTGGGGTCGTTATAGCAACACAGCCAAAAGTCCAGTGATTTACAGCTTGTGATTTTCTATTTTTGTGAAGGGGACGTTCTCATGATTCATCAAGTGTCACCATTGATTGGCTTTTGACCAGCTCACCCAGTTTTAGCAGATTAAATACACTCCTATTCTGTTTCTTTTAATCTGCACATGTGTTGACCTGTTGCTTACATACTCATACATGCATTATCAATTTTAGTGTATCTTAATTTGTTCCTTTGTCTCACTCATGGGATCTATGTGCATCTGAATTTTCTGCTGATCCAGCTGGAGAAAAACAGCCTGTTTCTAGTGAAGTACAGGTAACCTTTTCTACCAACAGCATTCCCTCTTACTGACCACTCTGTCATTGAGCCTTATGTTTATTGCGTGTGTTTTTCATGTTTCTGACTAACTGTAGACCAGCTCAGATAAACAGTCTGCTCTAGTGAAGACCGTCGGCCCGTTGACTGATGCAGATGTCATCAAGCTGCGCCCGTGTGAAAAGAAGCAGGTATATCTCTTCCAGTCGCTTTCCTCCAGAGTTTTCATGTCTGTTTAAACGATAAACAAGGTGTTTTAATAAACTGTTCTAATCAGCAGACATCTGATACTCATATATATATTTAGGGAATATTTACACAATTTAAATTACAGTCAAATTGCATTGCTTAATGCCTCTTTTTGCCTTTGTTCTTAAGGTGGATTTTCAAGACAAGCTCTATCTCGCCCCTCTAACAACTGTAAGTACCATCACACTGAAATCAGTATTGGAGTTAGTGGTAGTTGTGTTTTTTAATATATTTCTATCTTTAAATCCAGGAATGTAGCAAGTGCAATTAAATAATGACCTGTAAATGAGGTCTGGATCTGATAAAGCAAGTATTTCTTTAATTTCTTCAGTGTGGAAATCTGCCTTTCCGTCGCGTGTGTAAGCGCTTTGGTGCAGACATCACATGTGGGGAGATGGCCATGTGTACAAACCTGCTGCAGGGGCACCAGTCTGAGTGGGCCCTCCTGAGGAGACACGAAAGTGAAGATGTGTTTGGTATTCAGGTGATGTTTAAAATCTTCTGAAGGATTCAGTCCTATAGAGGGCGTTGTTGGTAAGACGTCTGGATTTGTGTGAGAGTCCAAGACTGTGATTTTTTTTAAAGCCTGAATTGCGTCTCTAGGTGGAGGGCAGTTTCCCCGACACAATGACGAGGTGTGCAGAGCTCATCAACAACAACACTGAAGTTGATTTTGTGGACATCAACTCTGGGTGTCCCATTGATCTCGTATACAACAAGGTAAACTCTTAACTTGCCCCCCCCCAAATGCTCAGACCGTGACTTTTTTTTTTTTCTTTCATTTCCTAATAGACAAATTGAGACTTCCTATTTTGCAGTCAGATGCATTTTGTGTGTTTATACTACAGCACAAAGAGCACAGATACCAGCATTTGAGAGGAAGTGTTAAACATTAATATGACAGTCACTGACAGATGGCCTTTGTTTTTTCCCATCAGGGCGGAGGCTGCGGCTTGATGACACGTACCAGAAAATTTGAACGAATAGTCAAAGGAATGAATTATGTAAGTATGACTTTTTGCCTATTGTATGGTAATGATGCAAGAAGGAGAGTTTTGTTGCTCTTGTGGATCATTGCAAAGTTACAATTCAGTTCAATTTTATTTATATAGCACCCAATCACAAAAAACAGCTGTCTCAAGATGCTTTATATTTTAAGCACAGTATTTGAGGGAAAAACCCAATTCCCCCTCGAAAAGCATTTGGCAACAGTGGGAAGAAAAACTTTATTAGATCCTGGCTCAGGGAAGGGCAGCCATGTGCTGTGACTATTTTAGGGTGAAGGGAAGAAGACAGGATAAAAGACACACAGCCTTCAGTTAAAGGCTGAATGAAAACCTTTTTCTCCCTGTAGGTCCTTGATGTCCCTCTAACAGTCAAGATCCGCACCGGTGTTCAGGAAAAGTCTAACATAGCACACAAGCTCATCCCAGAGATGAAGAATTGGGGCGTCTCAATGATTACAGTAAGTAAAAGAGGAGCATGTTTGAGCAATGTGAAATCGTCCCTATGCCATAAATCAACATGATTAAAAGGAAATTTCATTTCTAGGTTTACAGAGTTGCCAGATGTAGCTGTAAGCATCCATAATTCTGAATCGGTATCATTTATGTAAATGTAAATATCCTATGGTGACGATTCATTCTCGAGATGTTATTCTGTTCAGTGATGTATAACATGTTTACATACGCCTCTCCTATTAAAAAACATTGACGCTGTGTTTTTCCTACAGTTGCATGGTAGATCCAGAGAGCAGAGATACACAAAGTTAGCCGATTGGGACTATATCACAACATGTGCAAAGCTGGCTAGCCCCATCCCACTTTTTGGTATGTGGATTTGTAAAGGTTACACAAAAAGACAAAAGCCTCCTGATGTTTAAACAGTTTCATGCATTTAGTTTGGCGTTCTCTAGGTTGTAAAACCTTGCACAGAATGCAGTGTAGTGTTTTTATTGTACATGTTTTTATAGTACATATTAATCACAGGTGATTTGGTTTTATTTTTCTAGGTAACGGAGACATTTTGTCCTATGAGGATGCAATGAAAGCGAAAGAGACCGGAGTTTCTGGGATTATGATTGCAAGGTTAGTGTCATTTCCTTGCAGCGTAAAAAAAAAGATCGAAATGCCTTAAAAACAGATGACATCTGGAACTGATATGGTCTGCAGCCAGTGACTTTTGTTTTTAGATTTCACTTGAACTCTAATAATGGAAAAAGTTTTAAGTATATTTGTTTACACTCACTGGCCATTCATTAGGTACACGTGTCCCACTGTTTAACACAAATATTTCAGACTGCTTCCAGTTGACAGTCAAAATTGCAATACAATATAAGACTGCTGCCTGCTCTGGTGAAACTCCACTTCTGCTAGAACATTTGGATCAAAGGTTTAGAATTAGGTATAAACAACATGGATCCATCCCGGGTTGTATCTGTGGTTCAGGCTGGTGGTGTAATGATGTGGGGGATATTTTCTTGGCACACTTTAGGGTTGTGGAACCAATTGAGCATCATTTACTGCCACAACCTAACAGACTTCACAGTAACTCCACAGTCATCAGATCTCAGTCCAACACAGCAGCTTCGGGATGTGTTGGAACACGAGAGTCACATCGTGGATGTGCAGCTGACAAATCTACAAGAACTGTGTGATGCCGTCATGTCAATATGGACCAAAATCTCTGATGAATGTTTTTAGTATCTTATTGAATCTATGCCACAAAGATTTTATGTAGCTCTTAAGGCAAAATGGGGTCCAATCCAGTACTGGCAAGGTGAAACTAATAAAGTGGCCATGAGTGTATTTTGCCTCAGTGAAGTCAAGAATCTTTTTAAGTTGTTTTAAAACCCAGCAGCAAATTTGTCAGAGCTCTTAAGGCTAATATGTGGGTGCCTTTTTCCATGTATAATTTTCAGTTGAAGTGTGGAAACATTGTTTCTCAGAGGAAAATACAAAGAAAACACTGACCACAAATTACTCCATAGGATGGAAGATCCTTATACATTATTTATGTATGTATGTATGTATTTATTTATTACCTTTTCTGGGTTCTCTATAGGGGTGCTCTCATTAAGCCTTGGATCTTCACTGAAATCAAGGAGAGCCGACACTGGGACATTTCGTCCAGTGAGCGACTGGACATCCTAAAGGACTTCAGCAACTTTGGCCTGGAGCACTGGGGCTCTGACACTAGGGGTGTGGAGAGGACACGCACCTTCTTGCTTGAGTGGCTCTCCTTCTTGTGCCGGTGGGCTACATCACATTTCAGAAATTTTGCATTTGTTCTTCTGTGAGCAATTCGATTCATATATTCTGTGCAATTAAGCTGTTTTAATATAATTTTAGGGTAACAGACTTATTTGTGGTCTTTTCCCATTAGTTTATGAGACTGGGGACATGTAATAGCTGAAAATGTGTGATAGACTATGTTGCATTCCACTGCATCTGACTCTCGCTGTTAAGTTTTCCTGTTTGCTGTGGTAAACGTTGCTTTCCTTCTCCCTCCATCTGTTCTCAGATATATTCCAGTGGGCCTGTTGGAGCGAGTGCCTCAGAAGATCAATGAGAGACCTCCGTACTACATGGGCAGGAACTATTTGGAGACACTGATGGCCAGTCAGAACGTAGAGGACTGGATCAGGATAAGGTGAGTACAAACATGCCTATTTTCTAGAATTACATTTCAAGATTGCACAAAATTAAGATTTTAAAAGTGCAAAATGTAATAATGAGTGTCTTATGAATTGTTTTCTACTTTCCAGTGAAATGCTGCTTGGACCCGTACCCAAGAATTTTGAATTCTTGCCTAAGCATAAAGCCAACTCATATAAGTGATTTTCTTTTTTGCTCAACTATTAAAATCATCAAGATTTGTGGGTTTTTTCTTCTTTTTTCTAATTTGTTCAAGAGATCAAGCTCAAAGACAGAAGATATTTTATGTTTTAAGTGATAAAGACTCTAGAATAGTTTGTTTATTTGACCTGTGTTGCAGTAGAAACATACATCGGTTTTCATGTAATTGAGTGCAAATAAATGTTTCGCAACAACAAGATGTTTGTGTCATTTTATTTTTCTATTGAAGGAAATTGTTTGATTTATTTGACCTTATTAAACAAACATACTGAACAGAGATCATCTGTCTGCATGAATTTTGTAAATATGTTTTGAAGTTCTATATTACCCTGGGTAAGCCCAGTGATGATTAAGTATGTAAAGTATTTTTTGGTTGGAAATATTTTGTTAAAATATGCAACAATAAAAAATAAAACAAAAGCAATAAGAGAATCTGAGCAAGAAGTGATAAATGATGTAATTAAGGCAAATAAAGAGGTTTTAAGGGAAGCTCGTTTTCTTCACTGGAAAAGTCAAACTTTTGGATTATTATCTTAAATTTGAGGTTTCAGTAAGAAAGTTGAGATTTTGAGATATTAACCCAACATTTGCATTTGGACTTTGCAATTTTCTTCCACAAGCTCAGACACGAATATTGTCATAGGCGGGGAAGAAACCACTTTCATCCCCGTTTCCTTATATATAAATAGAAGCTACTTTATTTAAAATATTTTGTAAGTCCAATTTTCTGGACTGCTTTAGTGCAGAGGTCATTTGATCTTTCTCAGCGCGCCCCACTAGTCCAGCTAGTCCACTTCTTAAACATGCCTGCGCCAAATTAAAACGAAAATAAACTAACATCAATCGAGAAAGATAAATTGTTGCTTTTTTTTTACATCTAAGGTTTACGGCCACCACAGAGAAACTTTAAGTGATTTAAAGATTTTTCATAGTATCTAAAAAGAAATTGCCATACCCTATATAATAAAATATTGGCCAGATTAATGTAAATTAAATGAATAATAATTAAGGTTGAAAATAAATAAATAAACAGGCGAGTTTCCTTCCCGCCTGTTTATTTATCCTTCCCGCCTGTAACGGGGCAGCAGGTGAAAAATCAGCAGCAGTCAGGTGCAATCAATTAAGCTAGAGCCAGTACTTGTAGCGGGGCGCGAGGCTTCCTGCAGCTGCATGAGAGCTTTCACGTGAATGGCTGGGTGTAGGCTCGAGCTGCTGCTAGTCCTGACTTGGACTCTGCTGCCGGTGTCCGTCCGGGGGTGGGAGCGCATAAATGAAACTGAGCTTCGCAGTTTGTATGAGCCCGGAGAGAGGGGCGAACCACATGACCCTACAGGTAAACGGCAGGGAGACGGTTGGGCAGGTGTATTTATCAGGATTGGTCACTTACGACTTGTGGCTTCTAACAGCTTGTTGCCTGACGGCTAATTCTGACAATCTAAGATATAGATTTGAGAGGAATGAACATCATGCTTATTACGCTACACTTCTAGCTTTTCCTGCCCATATGAATGGGGTTTTTACTTGTTATCAGTGACCTAACAACGACCTCTGTTGTCCAGATTACAGTAGTGGCCTTGACCAGGGTGAAGCTAAAATTCTTGAAGATGTGGTCCTTGAAGCCGAAGGTGTTGCCAGCAGTGAAAACTTTGACTCCGATGTTGACTATGTTGACTATGATGACTTGGCCGTAGATGATTCTAGACCCACGCACTATGGTGGTGGTGTGGACCGTGGGTTCCAGGTAAAATTTGAAGATGAGCCTCCAAGGAGCTGGCCAGGCAGTTGTAATCCAACTGCTGCTGATCTAGAAGTTGTTTGCAGTGAAAGTGGCTTCCAAATTACTCTGCCAACAGGACCTTTGAGTGAGGTTAAGGTGTTTGGTATGTACTTGGATTAGATTTTTAGATTTGGAATAGATTGAATTGCTCCATCTGGTAAAACTGGCATGTACTTTCTCCAGGCTCTGGGGACAGTCTGCTGCCTATTGTTGGTGCGCCAGAAAACTGTGGTTATGAAGTGGATCCGCTGAAGAACACCTTAACTGTACCCTTCAATGGGTGCAATGTGGAGCGGCATGTAAGTTGCTTAAGAGTTTCTCCCTTGACTGTTTTGCTTAACAGGAAGTCATTAAACTTTATTTTACAATTTATTATAGGCGGATGGCTTCAGTCTACAGCTGTTGTACACCGATACACTTGGCCAGAGACGAGTGTCGACCACATCTTGCAACAAGTTTGATCCAGAAATGGTGCCACGTTCAGGTGGTGGGCCCTTGCCGTGTGTTAAACTAGTCAGAGATCCACAAGCACTGGTTCCACCACCTATGTTACCGGTTCCTCCAGTACCACAACCAGGATTGCCCCAACCAGCATTCCCTCAATCATCACCAACATTAAGACAACGTGAGTGGTTTGTAGAAGATGCTTTAACATTATTCAGATGAAATTAATTGTTTTTCCCTTTTTCAGATTGCAGCATCCCTGTGGGAGAGCAGGTGAGATGTGGTCATTATGGAATATCTGTCTCAGAATGTCGGGCCATGGGCTGTTGTGTGGATTTGCTAGCGTCTGTCTGCTACTACCCACTTGAAGGTAAGGCTAGTTTTTGACAGATGGTATAAATGTTGAATTTTTAATCCGTGAAACTTAAGTGGCTTTTTTCTATCCCTCCTGTAGAGTGCACAGTGGATCAACATTTTGTATTTGCCATTCGGTACAACTCTGCATCCATCCCTGTGGATCCTACCAGACTGATTGTTCCTGGAAATCCAGAGTGTAAACCAGCCATTGTTAACAACCAGGTCGCCATCTTTAAGTTCAAAGTTACAGAATGTGGAACCCATTCTTACGTAAGTTACCCCTTCAGCAAAGCTGTTACTTGGCAAACTTTGCAAGAATGCTTTGACTTTTTGGCGGCAACCTGGTATATGTCCAAATCTGGAATAAGAATGCTTTGGTGCTTGACTTGGAGATGTTGGTATATGCTACTGCAGGACTAATTTTAATGAGCGGTCATGACCAGCTATCACCCTGATTTGCCACTGTAACAGCCTACACGTTTTGCTGCTAAATAGCAGGCAGCAGTACAGGGGGCAGTACTGCTGACAGATTGGGGGGGTTTATGCAGCTTAAACTGGAAGGATGTCTCTAGTATGACATGTCTAAAGCTTGTTGACTGTCTGAACTCCATGTGCCATCTGATCTGTCAGAATCAACTTTTAATCTAAACTGTCACTGGTATGAGGTTCTCCTAAAAGTTACAAAGGTTTTGAGACTTAAGCAGACACTTGGCTTTTAACATGCTGGCTTGTATTCTTGTAAATTGCACCTCAGTAAGTAAATCATCCAATGTAACTTGTGTTGACAGGATGTTGGTGAGGTGACGATATACCTGGCTGAAGTGCAGAGTATTGTTCTTGCTCTCAATCTAAAGTATGGTGTCATTACAAGAACTGATCCACTCAGGTTAGTGTCTTGTGCTAGATTTTAATATGCAAACACAAATCTAACAGACTGAGGGGCAGGGGCACATGGTGAGCAGTATGCTGTGTTCTAGACTGGCACGTGGTATTAATGGCTTATTTGATCTCTTGTAGATTTCTGATTGAGTGCCGCTATAACAAATGGGGCACTGCTCAATCAATGGCTAGTGTTGGCTACATGGTGAAGACCCCACCTTCCAGTATGCCTTCTTCAGTCATCTCTAACAGTTTATATGGTGTCGAGTTGAGAATTGCCAAAGGTTGGGCATTGCATTGTCTTTCCAACAAACTACAGTAGACAGGCTTGACAAACTCTGCTGGTGTGAAGACTGGCTAAATGCCTTCTGTTTCATCCCAACAGATGAGACTTATTCAAGTTTCTATGACCATCACCATCAGCCCTTGCGGCTGCTCCTCGGCCGCCCTGTGTATCTTGAATTGCGCCTCAGCTCTCCTAACGCAGATGCAATAATTCTTGTGAATTACTGCCTGGCATATCCTCGTTCTGCAAAAAATGCTCTGGTGCTAATCTATGAAGGGTAAGCACGACCATCAACCTTTTAGAGCTTGAAGGTTATCTTGAACTTCTGACTGCAAGTTATGCTTGTCTGCAGGTGTGCCAATCCTCATGACCCACATGTGTCCATACTTAAAGTCAGCAATGTTCCTGGAGTGAATCATGAAAAACGCTTTATAGTGAGTGCCTTCCAGTTCATGGATCAAAGGACAAACAAGTACCTAAATGAAGAGGTGAGTTGGAGAAGTTAATGCTGGGACAGTTCCCTAATTTACATGTGTTTAAAAAAAAAAAAAAAAGGTTGTCTGGGTTCTAAGCAGAACTGTTTTTAAAGTCAATGTTTGCCTTGGATATTGAAAGATTAACTTTGTTTTACTGTGTTCATTCCCTGCCAGATTTATTTCATGTGCTCTGCAGAAGTTTGTCTGCCAGCAGAAAAGAGATGTGATGAGCGGTGCTTTGATGGGAGGGTGAGTCTCTAAATCTTGGTGATAATTTGCAACTTGTTTAATGGTCTAATTAGATTCATTTTCTTCCAGGTTCAATAAGGATTTGATCTGGAAACTAACATTGTGATTTAACTAAGAAAATAAAGCCTTTTAATTCACTATGCATGGATCTTTTGTCGTCATTAAGAACTGCAAGGTATAACTAGTGTGGACCTCAGGGTTTGGCATTTCAGATCCAGACATTGAAATGTTGTTTATTGAACTTATCAAGCACTAAAACATGACACAATTCAGTGAGCAGCAATCAAAGACTGCGGTGCATGCTACACAATGGAAACATTGAGCAAACACATGAAATGAGATGATGAGAGCCTTTATTTGTCAGTTGCAGGTCTTTTGCCCACAACAGAGATGACGGACATTGCCGACCGTACATACAATACACAAACATCACATTGGAGAGACGGGTCAGGCTAGGTAGCGAGGGAAACACATCGAAATGTGTAACACAAAAGGATAATACAGGAATGCACAGATATCAACACACCATAGCACAATAAACGCAGACAAGCAACATGGGAAAGAGTGCCAGTGTGTACATCTGATCTAGGACCGCTGCAATCTTTTGACTGCGCCTCCAACTGACCCGATGTCCACATCAGAGGGGAGGTAAGCATTTGAGGTGGCGTCGGATCCAGGGTAGGGAGGGTGATGAGTCAGTGAGTGCTTATCAGTATATGTCTGAGTGTCCATAGTTCAGCTGAGACGGTGTCCTTCGCCCTGCCAGGCTAAGTAAACAGTCTTCCAGCCAACCCAGGTGGCCTTGCATGGAATGGGAAGGAACAGAGTAAACAGTCGTTATCAGGGTGTTTTGTTCAGCTCAAGCCTTGTAGCTGGCGCAGAGAGGGTATCCGCATGAAGTGTGTGGGGTTTTTTTTATTTTTTTTTTTATTCTTTTTAAAAACTATAGTGCGAACAGCTCATATATTTCAAAGCAGTTCTACAGTCCAACACTGGTCCCGTTGGAGAGCCGTGAGCTTTGCCATACTTGCGTTCTGTGATGTCATTTCTTGTGCTCAAGGAGCAGATTTCTGAGAACTCACGGCAGTGTGCCTCCCCGAGATGTCATCCAATTTTGCACCCAGAGATGTTATTCCGGGCTAGCCCTTCCGAGATGTATCCAGTCTGCAGTCAGATCTTATTCTGAGTATTCACAGCAGCCGTAGCCTCTCCAAGATCTTATCCGTGCTGACTCAATGAGCCCATTTTGAGAAACTCACGCCTCTCCCATCGTTCCAATCCCAGCGGGCAGCCTTGTGGGGGTTTGAACAGCCGGTTCCGCTTTCTTAATTCGATAAGTCTGGGCCAAGCCAGCTCCGATTAGCAAGAACCCTGTTACCATGGTTCCGAATAGGTAGATATCTTCAGCACTCAGGCTCACCCAAGCCCAAACTTCTCGTTGAGAAAGGGGTGTCAATTGCATTTAGGGACCAGTTGATCCAATCCATAATTCCTCTTTTAGGTTTTAGAGAACAGATGGAGTGTTCCAGGGAAAATACAAAAACAAAACAAAACACGAGACTAGACAAGGACATAAGCAGGGATGATAAGGGAGAGGAGGAAAAAGTGCGTCCGCCTCCTTCGAGAGCCAAAGAAGAAATATTGCATCTAGGTAAAATGACCATAAGTTTAGTGCAATTTCAAGTGTAGTTTGCCATCATACTGCATAATGTACTCAAAGGGAACCTGGGTCTGTCCTGGGGCCTCATTCCAGTGGGATGTGCTAGAAATGCCTGAGCTGATTCTTTTAGTCATGGAGTAGTGGGTCTGAGCCCCCCACTGATGGGTGAACCCATCAGACTCTGTCCAAAGTTTGTCTTCATCTAAAACTTGTAAAAAGCAGGGTGTGGAGGAAGAGCTGTAAAGGCGGTGTGACCTTGGTTGATTAGCACTTAAATGTGATTTGATCACAATTCACTGTGTGAAATGTGAAGCTGCACCAGTGTTGGCCTGTCGCTGTCAAGTTACTGTCAATTCCTCAGATTCTCATTGTGCCAGACTGCAAAGCCATATTGATCACACAACCGGAAAATCATCTTGCAATCCAAATAAATACTTGATACAATGCCTTATGGTTATTGCTTCAGCTGTCAGTTTAAGACTTTAAAATTACTTGTACTTTTGAATAATTGTCTTTATAGATGTATACCTGGCAGACCCTTTTGATAATTCATTGGTGACATCCAAGTGGTCCCACAAATCTAAAGGAATCTGGCTTTTATCACTGTAGCCTCCCCTTTTTCCCCAGTGGTTGATGTTGGTTTCATAACACAAATTTAAAAGCTTCCCCTCTTTGGGCCTGTCATTTACATGTGGCTGCTTGTCATTAACATGCCTTATTTTTTTTTTTAATAAAGTCCTCTTCAGAGCTTCCTGACATACACCCATCTTGCAAATCAGGTTAAAAGTATAAGCATCCATCAGTAAATGACCTAAAGCTATGTGCTGTTAACATGTAGACTACATCATTTGAGCTCCCCTATAAATTAGAAGTTTTCAGTGAGCTTGATCCATTTACAACATTGTAGGAGCCATATGAGTTGTTCCTTTTTTTTGGATTAAGAGGGTTGGTTAAAAATGCACACATTGTATTGGTGCACGGGTGTGGGGCGTGACTCATGGGTGTTAGGTGATAAATGTGGTTGCACTCACCTGTTCACTGCACCTGATGTTGAGCAGAAAGGTAGGTAGGGTGAGCATGAGGGGAAACCTTCTGTTGACCGCATCTTGAGTCATTTTGATGCAAATTTTTTATTTATTTTTTTGCATGCAGCTTGAGTTTAGTTTGGTGCACTAATTTATGCCAGAGGCTGTAGTTTGGCATAGTAATTGGTGTAATGTTTGTAAGTTGCATTCGTTTGCTTGTGCAGTCTCTGCATTTGTATCATGCTTTGATCCCATGTTCTGATTTTGTATAGTGGACAGTGGAATTAAAGGAGCAAATAGTACAGAGGTCTATCTCATGTGTTTATTGTTGCGCGTCATCTGTGTCCTCATGTTTAGCCTGCAGCGACCGTTGGTTGGAAGAGCCGCAACAATAATTTTGTAAGAAATATTATATTTGTATGAATATGCATGTAAAGTCCTTTATACAAACCAGAGGAACTGAAAGTCCGCTATACTTAAAATATTGAAAGCTTTTTTCCATGTGCCATACTGCTTAACATTGGAGTCATTTCTTAAATATTTTTCTCTTTCAACTTTATTTCGTTAACTTGAACATGCAAAGAAACAGATGTGCAGCTATGTTTATGTGGTGTTGGTAGATAAAATAAAATAAAAAAAAATTATTTTTTTGTCATTTTTAACAAACGGGAAAACAATTGAGAAGTAAATGTATTTTTTTTTTCCCGATGAGACGCCCGTGACGAAGCAGCTTCCGATGACCCATAATTCTTTGCGCTTTGAAGCAGTTCATATGGTGGGCTGTTGTTTTTACCCCACGAGTTGAATCGCTTTGGGTTTTTCCCCCCACAAAACAAGTAGCTTTTGTTGTTTTGCTTTTTTTTTTTTTTTTTTTTTTTTTTTTTTACTGCAGACCTCAGAGTTGTCCGTCGTTAGCAAATACAGGAAGTCTTTGTCAGCTGAGAAGGGCCCGGAGTCACATGTTTACATCAGCTGATCTGGAATAAAAACACAGTAAGTCTGTTTGACAAGACGGGTAGATTTTAATATTTCTCTTTGCAGTTTATAAATGACCAAAGTATTTGGCTAGATCAGCTCTCGGTCACATTAACCCAGACGGTAGATATAACGGCAATGACCCGTTACCTACCTTCCAGCATCCGCTTAGCTTAGCCAACTTAGTTTCGCTTCACTTGCCATTTTACCACCTCATTATTCGTGTTTCATAGCATGCTGTACAAAACCCGCTGGTACCAAGCCGAAAAAGGTTATATCCGCTTTAAAAAAAAAAAAGAAAAAGAACTATATTAACTATTACATCTAAGTCTCTGTGCCTATTTTGCATGGAAATATTCAGATATATGGTCTAGAGGAGTGGTCATGCAACAACAAGGGCGAGTCCAAATTTCAGTGCACACCTGTGGAAAGTAACCTCCGTGTGTGCTGAAGTTTTCATGACCTTCTTTCAGTTTCTCACTCAGTACGAAACGGTTTAATTGTTGTTTATGGCTTTCTTCACACAATTAGTGATCTTTTCACGTCTACACATGTTATCAACCATAGTCTACCTAACTGTTGTTTTAATACTAATAAATAATAAACTATTATCTTTTGTGCAGCTCGATTATGTTTGGTCGCCACACAACTCTAAGCTGTTAAGACATGAGATGATATTTTCTATGATAAGTACATTTAGTTTAAACAGTACTTTAAATGCAGTTACTCAGCGAGTGAGGCATTTTACAGTAAAGTTCAACTACCTTAATTAATTTACTGCATCAGCATGTGGCTTTTAGGTTATCTGATAAGTGTAGAAGCAGGGACCAGAAGGCACAGAACTGAGCATTATCCTTTACTGCGTCAGTTGTTGTAACTTTGTACTATGAGCCTCACATTTCTTGACATTTTCTTGCTGTTTTGTTCTGAAAGCCTGGTGTTAAAGTGCTGATCAGCTGCAGCTGTAGATCTGAGAAATTATGATGTGAAACAAGCTTAAGTCTCATGACCTAATGTGCAGGATGGGAGCTGCAAATTCAGCAGCAGTCAGCAAATTTGCAGGAAGGCGTGGTCTTTGTGCTCTCATAAGATTGCACAAACCCAGAGGTGGACTCACACCAGTCTGCTTGTTTAACCCTCAGATCCCATTGCTGGCACAAAATGTCTCATCTCACAGAACTTTTCAAGTATGTGGACGACCACCAGGACCTGTATGTGCAGGTAAGATTACTCAGGAAAAATATAATAGTTATGCTGGACTCAATGTAAGACCTCTTGGCTGTTTAATCATTGTATGGTTGTCATTTGATTTAATAATTTATTGAGCTAACTTTAAACTGGACAGCATTGTAACTCATTCACTTAAGCTGGCGCTATAGTAGATGCCAACTGTAAAACCAGATATTATAACTGCTGCTTTAGTCAAATTTTGTAGAAGGTCTGATGTCCTAAGAATAACTCATTGTGGCTCTTTTTTGAGCA